TGTTACACTGCACTACACTACACTACACTGCACTACACTACACTACAGCAGTGTTACACTGCGGTGCACTGCACTACACTGCACTGCACTACACTACACTACACTGCACTACACTACACTGCATTACACTACAGCAGTTACACTGCACTACACTACACTACAGCAGTGTTACACTGCACTACACTACACTACAGCTGTTACACTACACTACACTGCACTAAAGCAGGGTTACACTACACTACACTGCACTGCACTGCACTACACTACAGCAGTGTTACACTACACTGCACTACACTACACTACAGCAGTGTTACACTACACTACACTACAGCAGTGTTACACTACACTACACTGCACTACACTACAGCAGTGTTATACTGCACTACACTACACTGCACTACACTACAGCAGTGTTACACTGCACTACACTACACTACAGCAGTGTTACACTGCACTGCACTACACTACACTACAGCTGTTACACTACACTACACTGCACTAAAGCAGGGTTACACTACACTACACTGCACTACACTACACTGCACTACACTACAGCAGTGTTACACTACACTACACTACACTGCACTACACTACAGCAGTGTTAAACTGTACTACACTACAGCAGTGTTACACTGCACTACACTACACTACAGCAGTTACACTACACTACACTGCACTACACTACACTACACTACAGCAGTGTTGCACTACAGTCCAGTGTAGTAAGTTCAGCAGTGTTACAGTAGAGTATCACACTTCAGACATGATGCAGGTCCGGCCAAACCACATGTCCCAGACACCCTCCTCCGCTGCTCTTTGTGTAAAGAAGCACCTCCTGCGTCCCTCAGACTCTGGAGAACTGAGCCCGTTTCCACTTGCTGTTCCCCTGAGAGCTGTTTCGGCGGTCGTTCTCATAAGGCAGCTGAGCCTGGCGTCATCAGAGCCGGTGTGGTACCGTCGCCGGGAAGCAGGGGGAGCTGCTGAGCCACCGCTGGACTCCAGGGGGACTGGCTACACCTGGCATTGGGTGCTGCAGTTGGAGAGAACTGGTGTTTCATCGGAGGGCAACACAACTAATCCGGGGGGGACAGACTGTGGAGCCTTCCTTTAAACATAAATACTGGTGTCTTAGTACTAAGAGTAGCAAAGGACAAAACTACATTTCCCATTCTCCCCTTCTGTTGCGATCAACAGGAAAGACTCATGGGATGTGTAGTGTGTGCTCTGTAAATGAAAATGGACTTATTCCCTGTGTAACAGAGCACAGCTTCACAAAGGCCACTGTGAGATACTAAATCCTAACTTGACACAGAAGTGCCACCATGTGACGATAGGTTTTCACTGCGTATTTACAGTGACAACGGTTAGAGGAAATAGGTGTGTGTTGGTAGACTAGATCAAACACTAGATCACTGACAGAACTACAGGAATAGACTGGAAGGAAAATCTGAGATTCTAATGGTAATTTAATTTTCTTTTTTTTATTAGTACTGTTTAGTTATTTGGAAACAAGGAGGAGACTGGAGGGGTCTTGTCATGTGAGGGAGGGGAACTACAACTCCCACAGTGCTGTTAGCCTAAGCCCTCGCTGCTGTACTTGGGTTCCTGCTGCAGGTGCTCATGGAAGTTGTAGTTTTCTTTCCCCCGGCTGGCGGAACAGCTGAAAGGCTGTTTTTTGAGGAGAACTCTCAGACGAACGGAAACTACAAATACCACAATGCAGTGGATCACCTCAGCAGACACGCAGGAGACTTCCATTCAGCTGGTGCTAATGGGAGCTGTAGTTCCGTTAACATGCAGAAATTAAGCAGAACCATATCTGGTTCGTCTAACCCAGGGGGCTCTAGCAGCAGCGACGGGGTAAACTTGGCAGGGTTGCAGCACGGTCTCATGGGAGTTGTAGTTTCTTCACCGACGTTCAGGAGAAAAAGTTATAGGGGAGTGAAAGGAGCAGGGTGGACTACATCTCCCACAAACCCACAGGGCACAGCAAGGGCTTATGGGAGCTGTAGGCTCTCTCTGCTCCATGTGTCTTTGGACTGGGAAAGGAGGTGGAAGCTGTGTGAGGATGTGAAGGAGTGAAGGAGTCAGGGGGTCGACAGGGAAGGGAAGGGGACAGTGGGGCGACCAGAGGGCGACAGGAAGTGGCGAGGCGTTCGGGTACGTGCGGGGGGCCATGGCTGACACCCCCTCTGTCTGTGGGGCTCAGGACACTGCAGCGCAGACTCGTGATGACCGGGGGGGCGCCCAGCGTCTGAACACGAAGGGGGATTTACTGGTGGTATTAGAGCAGCTCCAGCTCCACAGCCGGCAGTCCGCTCCTGGCTTTCCAGAGACGCGCGGGCTCGGTTTCGATCAAGTCCAGAAACGGAACCCGGGATCGAAAATGTCCGCAGGCATCTGGTAAAACCTGGAGTGGATCGGTCTGCTGTCACTGCCGAGATGAGTGTAATTGTTCTGCATGTTGGTCTTTACTCTACCAGAGTGTAGCCAGATTAACAGAGAAGAGTAACTGTAACGACATTAAATAATCACAGTAGCACAACTGCGCTTTTTTATAGCTGTTTAATTTTGTACTTTCTTTAAGCACTGTTTTCTTAACCCCTGGTAACTCTAATATAGAGTCACAGACAGCAGTATCACTGTAACACCACTCACCCTCCCTCATCCTATAGACTCTATAGAGTCACAGACAGCAG